ATTTATATAATAGAATATATTTTTATTTTTGATCAAAATATCTATATCTTTTTATATATATATATATATATATATATATATATATATAAATATATATATATATATATATATATATATATATATATATATATATATATATATATGTAAATAACAAATGTTGTATTCTTTCACATGTTATGTTTTAAGTTTTCATAAAAATTGTTGAAAAATATATTTTTTTGTAGTACAAACTGTTACTAATTAAATATCATAATTGTTTTTTCAGGAAAGATGGATTCATGCAGAATTTGATATACAGCAAAAATTAATTATGTGGATAAAAAGAAACCGGATCAATTTATTATTAAAAATGCATATGTAAAATTTTTTCCCTCATTTGATATATAACATTATATTCCGATGTAAAAAAAAAACATGAATATATAGCTAAATAGATTTTAATTGATAGATTGATTTATTTTCTACGGTTTATCAACCCTTTTCTGGTTATTTCACGCCAGAAAATTTTTTACATTTTTTTTTTTAAATAATCATGATTTAGGGATAAATGTTTTAACTCATAGCTGTTGTGGTGATTCATACTTTTTAATTCTTTAAATGAATTTAAATTTTTTTGGAAATGGAACACGGCATGTAAATTAAAAAATTTGATACTAATGTTTTTCATCTTGTATCCACAAAATCAAACCTAGTATTCCCAAGCTGTCAAGAATCCAAATATCTTTTTGATTTCAGGCTCAAAACTTGCTTAAATTTTAGAAATGTAGCTTGCAATTCAGGAAAAATTTTGTCTAGTATCCAAAATATTCAACTCGAACAAAACAAATAAAAATAAATGTGGTTTGAAGAATGGTTTGTTTGTCACAGATATAACCATATATATATATATATATATATATATAAATATATACATAGATAGATAGATAATACATAGATAGATAGTTAGAAAGAGAAAGAGAGAGAAGAAAATGATGGTAATTTTACCATTGATGATGATGATGAAGACAGATTTAATTTTTGTTTTCTCTATATATATATATATATATATATATATATATATATATATATATATATTTATATTTTATATAAATTTAATTACGGAAAAAATATACCATTTTATTGTTAAAATGTTGGTATCCAATGTAAAGCTTGATATACAATATATATATATATATATATATATATATATATATATATATATATATATATAATTGATGAGAATTTTGATGATGATGAAAATACCTGATCATTGATGATGATGATGCTGATGACGACTATTTTTTTTCATGATTTATATATATATATATATATATATATATATATATGATTAAACGCATTTTAACAGAGACATAACACACATTTAATAAATAAAAATAATAAGTTTTTGTTTTTTAATTTTTAATTTTTGTCGTTTTAAATATATATTTAGCTATATCTGAAATTTAAATATTAAACATTCATATATAAATACATTAATTTATTTTTCACACTCATATATTTATATATATATATATATATATATATATAAAATATATATCATATTTTTAGGTTATTCAGATGTTGTCCTTGAATTCAAAAAATATGAAATCTGGTGTTTATATTTTTTTAAACGCATTCTTTCATTCACTTGTCTGGGAGGGTTGGTTGCATATATATATATATATATATATATATATATATATATTATATATATATATATATATATATAGTAAGAACATTTGGATTTTTTTTTGATATTTTTTATTAAACAAAAATTTTATTAAAAAAATATTATTATTCTTTTTTAATGTTATATTCAACGTCAGAAATTCGGGTCTGAATAAACCATTCCTTCAGGACTTATTCATAAATTATAAAATGATCAATTACAACATGACAAAGATATGTATATATAAAAAAAAAATCCAAAATAATAACTGAAAGTTCTTATGTCCGTCTTTGTCATGTTTTTGTATAATTTTTTCAATTGTTTTTATATATATTTTTTTTCATATATATATATTTATATATATATATATATATATATATATATATATATATATATTATATATTCGATATATATAAAATATATATATATATATATATATATATATATATATATATATATATATTTAAATTCTTAATAGATAGATAGATAGATCAGATAGATGTTTTGATTCATTTAAAAATTATTTATATATATATATATGCAATATATATATCTAAAATGTATAATAAATATACATACATACATACATCCACATACATATTGTGTTTGTTTAAAAAATAATTCCAAGAAAAAAGAATCCATGTTCCAAAGTTGTCCAAGAATAATAGTGTTTAAGAAAATTATTCAATATATTATATATATATATATTTATATATATATATAATATATATATATATATGGAATGAATGTGTGTGTGTGTGTGTGTGTGTTTGTGTGTGTTCCAAAATTGAGAGAGAGAAATGTTTATTGAACGAATGAAGAATGGAATTTTTTTTTATGTTTTGAAAAAAA